CCCCCCCCCCCCCCCCCCGCCCCCCAAAGGCCGAAAACCTCCCAAATCTACAATTTTGAAAAATAAAATAAATCTTAAAATCCTCCATTCTGTAGGGAATGACCATATCTATCAGATCACCAAATTGGGATTCGATTGGATCATTATTATAGCCACAATGAAGAGCTTAATTTCCAGTGGCTAAACCCACCCCGTCCCGCAGCTTATATTTATTTTTCCCACGTTCTCTCATTCACACTCGCCTTCTGCAGTGTGCGGCCTCTGCCTCTCGCGTTCCTGTGCCTCTGCCTCTGCCGGGACTCTGCTGTGGGTGGCTCTAGAAAAGGGGGGCGAGCTAATGGAGCGTGTTGGCGTGAAAAGTGTTGTAGTTGTAGATGACAGATGAAGAAAATATGTAAACTTTGACAAAAACCGGTACAGATGTAGTACTGAGTACCGGGTATAAAAGTTGTGACGCGTAAGAAGCGTCTCCACGTCCCCTTCTCGTTTAATGTATTGATGGTTTGTCAAATGCTGAATCGTACAAGTGGTTTCCTTTCGTACGGTGGGTTTCCGGGGGTTTTTTTCGTTTACTTTTGAGTAGTTTCCAATAGTTAACAATTAATAGAAATTTAATAAAGCTTTTCTTAAAGGAACTTCTTTTATATCTGGTTCTGTATGTATGTACATATATTTTCATATACACGTATGTATAATCTTACATATGTGTATATGTACATGAACATGCATATTAAATATGCATAGTTTGTTTGTATTTACATATATGCACATGCATATGAATGTATGTATGTATGAATGTGGTACCGGCATCGTCTCGAATTACATACATACATACTTCTTGTTTAACATGACCCGTAACCCGCGATAGAAACGGTATTCAGTATAGAATGTAACAATAGATGCATATAAATGTACATGTGTATGTATGTACATACAGATGTTTTAATACAGCAATTCACATTTTTTTTTTCCAACATTAAAATACAATATACTATCTACATATGTTTTCATTTTATTTTAATAGAAAATTATTTACCACAATACACGTTAAATGTATGTATTTTTTAATTATACATATGTACATATGCTCGCATACATATGTATGGAGGTACGTGAATCAAATATGTGCATGTACACATACCAATGTAGATATATACATATATTCATATTTGTACTTATGTATAAATGTATGTCCGATAAGATAATAAAATAGCGCTAATCATACGCCAAATAAAATCGTGATGTACATACATATGAATGTACATATATATGTATGCATATACGCTAACGCATGTGTACATATGTATGTAAACACACTCAATTATATTTGATCATGGATATATATGGATATATGTATGTACATGGTAGTGAAAATGTAATTTGAATTATTTCACATAACTCATATTTTCCAGTTCTTAAAACTACTTACATTTCGTCAGATCGCAAAGACCTCGTTGATGACTTTAATTCATAAAATTCCACGTTCTCAGAGCTACCTGCTACAGTAACATTCGGCAGTAGATCCATATTATCGTTGTCGTTTAGCAAATTAAGACTTAACTCGTCAAACTCCATATCAAAGCCTAGATCAATGCCCGACTCAGTCATTTTACCGACAGAAAAGTTGTACGGTAAGCACACGAATTATTTTTAAATATAAGTTCTTTTTGGCATGTATGTTATTATATTGTAACTAGTAGAATACGTTGTCACATATTCGCAAATCTACGCATATAGGCGTCATCACAGCCAAACCAGACGGATCCACAAACGAATACTTTCAACTTCCACAACCGACTGGAGCTTTCAATAGCGGTGAGCTGAACGAAAATAGGAGTAAGCGATCGCACCATCGATTGGTTAGCATTTTATGTTTGTATGTTGTGTTCATAATAAATATGAAAAATACGATTAATTTAAAATTTAAAAGCATGTTTATTAAACAAAATGATACAATTTTCGCTTGCAATTTGCCACTAAGATTCGTACCTTGGCTAACAAAAAATTAAAATGTGCATAAATGTACATACATATGCATGTGTATAGAAAATATAAAATATTCAAAATATTATCCATGACAGATTCATGTCAAAACCGTACATCAGTTTAAATTGTTGATTAAATCGAATATTATATTATCGATGGAAATATTATCGACTTCGAATGTTAAGATTTTGAAGTATTAATCTACAGGTAAGTATGAGAAAAGTGGTCAAACATGGCTGTCCATGCGTCTTTCCGTCTTGTTTGCCGCATGTTTCCGAAAGACGATAAGAGCTAAAACCAAAAATTGTATCCAGACCTCTGTAACATACAAACCCTACAAATGTATTTAAAAATTTAGACCTGTAACCGCATTTCGGACAGCACAAAGGACGAGTATCTGTAGCATTTCCACTTATTATTACATATTACTTTTGTCAGCCAAATCGCGTACAGTTTATTTTTAGGCGCTCTGGAATTTGCAAAAGTTATATATATACCCGGTACTCAAAGAGTAATTAAGGTATATTGAATTTGTGATCGGAACCGACCCTATAATCGACCCTATAAACTATGTGCATATATTCTTGATCAGCATCAATAGCCGAGTCTTTGTCAGTCCGTCTTGTTTGACGCCTGTTTCTCAGAGGCTATAAGAGCCAAATTTTGTGTGAAGACTCATGTGATATCACACCCCCACAAAGGACGAAAATCTCTAATATCCACAATTTTGAGGATATGAGAAATCAAAAAACACAGTTCCCTATAGGACTTCCATATCTATCAGACTCTGGAAATAGGATCAGATGGGATCATTATTATAAGTAGAATAAAGAGATTCATTGCAGTGGCTACATTTACATTTTTTCTACATGTCATATACATCTACATATAACACTTCGCACGCCAACACGCTCTGTTATCTCGCCCCCCTTCCCAGTTACGTACATTGCATGAGGCAGAGTGTGGAATGAGAGAAGGTTAAAAAACGAAACAAAGCTGCTGGAAGGGTGGAGCTAGCCACTGCAAATTCCTTTCTTTATTCTGGCTATAATTATGATCCTATCTAATGTAACAGTGTGTACATGTAATGTAACATACATACAAGAGCTGGATGCAAAACTTGTCTGCCCTATCTCTTTTGGTAACTGAGTACTAGGCGCTTGTAAGAACGGACAGGCGGACGGACAGACAGACAGTTTTATATCGACTCGGCTATTGGTGCTGATCAAGAATATACAGATATACCTTGTGGGGTCGGAAACATTTTCTTCTCTGCGTTAATCCTAGTACTCAGATAGGAAAAAGGGGCCGCTTGAAAAATCAGGGATGATATTCGTTTGGAACGGATAAGAAATGTTGTCGAGCACAAACTACTTTATAGCAGGGCAGTGCTCAGATCGAAAAAAACTGTCCGATTAATCCTAGAAAATCAGCCGATAGTATTTTGTGATATATTTTGGGTTATTCGATGGTAGTTTCCGAACAGCTCGAAAAAGATACAGTTGCGAGGATACAAAAATACCGCTGAAATGGACAACGTGACAACCGCGCTTTTCAACGAGCGTGAGAGCCATCAAAAGGCAAAAAAGGAATCAAACTTTATAGATGAATGAGATTGTATTGAATTTATTTGCACTTATTTGAACGCCAGTAGCTTCCTGTTGACAAGAAACAGACCCGGCTGAGGTGTTAACCAAGAGTTTTACAACTTCGCTACGGGCGTAAATATTCCTTGGCACGGCCTTGCTGCTCCATCAATCAAAGAAGGCTACAGATGTTACTCCCAGGCATATGCAAATTCTCAAAGAATACTGATGGCCTTTTAGTCATATTTTCAAACTGCGGAAAATGCAAAGGGTATTGATAGATGGGTTTCCATACTCATACTCCATGCTTATAATACTCACATGTATAGACAAACGACCATCCTGGTTTCTTTCCTGCAGATACGGGTTTAATGAATGTTGTCGGCGCTTATTTCGTGATTTGTCCTCCTCCTCCCCTAATTCCCCATTTAAACAAATTTCCTGCATGGATTAATTTTGCTTTCATTGTTTTATTCACCTTTTATTCACTTTTCAGGTATTTTCAAAATGTAAATAAAACAGAACGGCTTGCTGAGCAGTGTAACCATACGGAACGCGGTTTTCACCTCTACTAGCAAAATCTATTGCACAGTTTGCTAGCAAACGTGTTTTCGGATCTAAGTACCAGGCTTAATTTTTAAAGGATTTGTAAACAATATAAATCGGAATGAGTTTGAAAAACTAAGTAACCATTATTACTAGAAAATCAGGCGATAGGCTGATAGGCGCTCGAAAACTAAAAGATATGTTTTTTATTCCGAAAGGGGACCGTGGACCATGGAGAGCAAAAAATCAAAACTTAGCAAGCGCTTACGTGAAATTACCGAGGAAAACATCCCACTAGAAGCACTTAATTAATTGCTTGATCCAGTTTGTATACTTTTTTTTCACAAAATAAACGAATCGAAACAGCTGTCTGAGTTGTGTAACCGTACGACATGCAGTACACACCTATGGTGACATTCGGCCGCTAGAATATATGGCACATTTCCAATTTGAACTAGGCTTTATTCCACACATTTCCTTGTAACTTGATAACATATTAATTTATGTTGTTTAGCTTGATTATTTAGATCTGCATGTAATGTCAAAATGAGTTAAACGAAAATCCCCTTTCAGGCCACTGGTTAATACGCGCCCAAGCGAACAGGCTGGGTGACCTTTATAATGCTTTCTGCAGCAGATTTATAGAAGAGGAAGCGGAGGAAGCAGTGAAAGTCCTGCTTCTGCCCGACCCCCTGCAGAACGCGGCTAAAACAAGTGGTGCTCACTTTTATTGATAATGTTTTATCAGCGCATCAGGATGGGATAACTGTTGCCTCCATGTCTCACACTCTGAAAATAGGAAAGACATGTTTTTTTTTTTACTATTATGTGTCACACGAACTGCGAAAACGGTTTAAATGTGAAATATGGAAAATTGAGGAGCACAACTGAAACGCAACCAAACTCCAAAATTGAAGAAGATTGGAATGAACGACTAATTTGTATACCCTGTACTCGAGGAGTAAATAGGGTATATTGTATTTGTGGGGAATAACGGATGTTTGTAACGCACAGATGGAAACGTTTCCGACCCCATAAAGTATATATATACTTGATCAGCTTCAATAACCGAGTCGATTGAGCCTTGTCTGTCTGTCTGTCCGTCTGTCCGTCCTTATAAGCGTTGGATCTCAGAGACCATAAAAGCTAGAGCCACCAAATTTTTGCAGCCACCAATTTCCAGTGGCTAAACCCACCCCGTCCGGCAGCTTATATTTGTTTTTTTGCACATTCTCTCATTCACACTCTACTTGGCGCAGTTACTGCCACGTCTCTGCCGTGACTTTGCAGTGTGTTGCTCTAGGGAAGGGGGGGGGGGGGGGGGGGGGGGGGGGGGGGCGAGCTAAAGGAGCGTGTTGGCGTGAGAAGTGTTGTAGATGTAGATGACAGATGATAAAAAATGTAAAATTTTACAAAAAACCGCCAAGGTGCAGATGTAGTACTGAGTGCCGGGTATAAAAGTTGTGACGCGAAAAAAAGCGTCTCACACGTCCCTTCTCGTTTTTGTATCTACCTCCACACCAGCACCTCTATCTAATATATGTTTTAATTGTATGTTCCCGAACGAAAGCAGCTGTTTTGTTTTACTTATTCTTTGAAACTTTGTGAAAAGTTAATTAAAAGTTAAAAAACATGGAATAAGAAATGGATTCAAGCAGGAGACTACTTTTGGTGTAATTGACGGCTCTTGTAGCCAACAGGGCAATCAACGCTGACAAGATTGGGTAAGCCCGTACCTGGCTCGAATGGTCCGTTTTCTATAGATGGGAGAATTATAAATCATATACATATGTGTATAGGAATGGAAACAAGTCAACAAGTCAAGTACCCTTTTGCACACTCCACAGTTTGAAAATATTACTGAAAGGCTTTGGGAATTTGCGCATGTCTGAGAATAACTTCTGCCGCCTTTTTGGATTGGTGGGGCAGTACTTGGTGCCGAAACGGAATAAAACTTCAAAAATGTCGTTAACAGCCCAGCCTGGACTGTGTCTGGGCAAGATGAAGATACTGGCGTTCAAAGAAATTATTATAATAAAAAATTCAATATATTCTCATTCATTTATAATAATCGTTTCCCCTTTCGACTTTTTTATGGCCTCAATTTATTACGGTGGACATTTTTTTCTGCTTCGACTACTTATTTGCTTACATTTTATTGGGGACTTACGTTCATTTTGTTAGGTCGTACAGAAGAAATTCATCTTATTCGAGCTGCTAGCAAACGACCTTCGAATACCACATAAATCCATCGGCTGATCTCTACCATGCTTGAACCTATTAAAGTAGTTAAATAATAACATTAATGCTCTGAATAAATTAAATTGTCATTTCATGAATACCCTGCAGATAATATCGACAGATTTCTATGGTAAAGTTTCCTTTAACGTATCGATATTATTATGCATGTTGGAAGTAGGCATGTGAAGATACAGATATGCATCTGTATTCGATACTATACGATATTTCCTTCTACAATTGTGTAGACTAGGTAATTTTTTTCGTTTAATATGAAGTGCTTCTATAATCGAATTCCATATGAATGAACTGATATTTTGGTGATTGTGACTTAACGTAAGTTTACCTTTGTTTTTAATTAAATGAATAAAACTTGTCGCTAACTCCCTGTAATTTTTCGCAAAAGAATATCCATGGAATTATACGCACATACATTTGAACGTATACAGACACTGGCATGTATGAAGATTTACATGCATATTTATGTATTCATGATTTAATATCAACACTTTTAAGCGTAAGCTAACGAAAAAAGAAATATGTGTATGTCGATGTGTCCTTGTTTTGGCGTTGCTTAGGTGCATATATACATTCACATAATACATACAATTTATTTATTGACAAATATTTCATGGATATATGGACATACATATGTATGTACATGAATTTAATATGCACCCTATACTGTATAGAGATACACATGTTTATGTTCTTAGACAAACATACAATTTTTCTTAATTATTTTACTTTTAAAATGATTCAAGACAGACGCATTAGCCAGCCGGAACATGGATAAAAAGATCTCTTCAATGTCGCAACCGCGAATATTAAAAAAGAAGCACTTTAGAGTAAAACATCAAAAAGTAAAACTATTCAGAGCTAACGAACCGATTCTGAGTGTATTTATGTGGGGCATAAACCACACAGTACGTTATACAATTAAATTGTAGTCGAAATATTTATTAAAAGCTTATACATATTTTTTCAGATAAATGAATTAAGCCATGTAAATATACCAGTGATGCTTCTCCCAGATGACTTTCGGGCTTTTTCAAAAATTAAAGTGGATAATCATTTATTTAACAAGTAAGAGCTCAAAATTATATTCTCAAGGGGATAGCCGTACAGATTACTTAATCCATTAAATTCATTTTCGTAAAAGCTATCTATAAAAGCCAATGAGTTATTAGCAATTTAAATCTATTACATTTTAAGGGAAAATATGCCGTCACATTTTAAAGTAAAAGAATATTGCCCCCTAGTCTTTCGTAATTTGCGAGAGCGATTTAATGTTGATGATGTTGATTATCGCGAGTCCTTGACTCGATCACAGCCGATACGGATCGACTCTTCCGGAAAGTCAGGGGCACAGTTTTACCAGAGTTATGACAAGTTTTTTATAATTAAAAGCTTAACATCAGAAGAAATTGAGCGTATGCATGCCTTTCTAAAGCACTATCATCCGGTAAGTAAAATGTTGAATTTTATTAAAAATATATACAAATATATATATATTTGTTTTTAGTACGTTGTTGAAAGACATGGAAAAACACTTTTGCCGCAATATTTGGGAATGTATCGGATCACTGTGGAGAGCGTGCAATATTACTTTGTCGTCATGCGGAATGTTTTCAGTTCTCATTTAACAATCCACAAGTATAATAAAATTAATTATTTCGCCTATTCGTAACCATACTATTTTTTTATAGAAAGTTTGATTTAAAAGGTAGTACTGTGGATCGTGAAGCATCTGAAAAGGAGCTCGAAAAACTTTTGCCAACATTGAAGGACAATGACTTTATAAAACAGAAAGTCAAGCTGGAAATTGGAGGCGAGGCAAAAAAAAAATTAATGGATACTTTAAACAATGATGTGGATGTAAGTATATGAACTCTTTGGTCATACATAAACATTAAATATTCACGGACTTCATACCTCTTATAATTATACAATTAAGTTTTAACATTCAACTGCAGGAATTAATACAAATAAATAGTCCACCAGGTGTACAACATAAGCCGCCATTAAAACTCAAAACTTAATGCTATACAAATTCTATATCGAACTAACCGATGAACCTAATACATGTTTACTAATATAGCTTCTTACCAAGCTGCACATTATGGACTATTCATTGTTAGTCGGTGTACATGACTGTGTGCGAGCGGAAGAGGAAGCCCTACAGGGAGATAATATACAAGCTGCTGGTCGCAGCGAAAATAGCGAAAGCGAGGAGTGCGATAGTGGAGAACGGTAAAGGACATTTTTAAAAACCTTTTGCATAATTGATGTATATTTCTTTTTAGCTGGACGTACAACACGCCTCCAGATTCACCAAGAGGTGCGCAGTATAAAGAAGTCGTATATGAAGTTGATATATACGCCATTCCAAGTGTTGAAGGTAAAGAGTTTTCTAACACTGAAAGATACGGCTATCCCAAACACTATACTTGCAAACGAGAAGGGACGTGAGAGACGCATCTTAATCGTCACAACTTTTATACCCGGTACTTATTGTATTTGTGCGCAAAGTGAATGTATGTAACGCACAGAAGGAAACGTTTCCGACCCCATAAAGTATGTACATTCTCGATCAGCATCAATAGCCGAGTCGATAGAGCCATGTCTGTCTGTCCGTCTTGTTTGTCGGCTAGTTCTCAGAGACTACAAGAGCTAGAGCCACCAAATTTTGGCTCCGGACTGCTGTATGCTCACACTGAAACCAGTGTATTTTTAAAAGGAAATGGCCATATCTATCAGATCACCAAATTGGGATCCGATCGGATCATTATTATAGCCACAATGGAGAAATTAATTTGCAGTGGCTAAACCCACCCTGTCCCGCAGGTTTTGTTGCTCTTTTTACACTCTCTCATTCACAATCTGCTTCTGCTTCACTCGGCCCCTGCCTCTGCCCTCCCCCTGGCTCTGTCTCTTCCGACTTTTAACCCACCCCGTCCCGCAGCTTATATTTGTTTTTTTTTTTGTGAGGGCGCTGCCTCTGCCTCTACCGCAAGTCAGCAGTATGTGGGTCTAGGGAAGGGCGGCGAGCGTGTTGGTGTGAGAAGTGTTGTAGATGTAGATGACTTTGCAGCATTAAGCTACTGACAAAAGCTTGTTGCTATAGAACATACGTGTAATATGTGAATACGATAGAGAAAGAGGAAGAACATGCATTTAATAGGTGAATATCGAAATTGAAAAGAAGAAGAGATTAAATTGATTTGAATAGGCTGAGCCGGCTTGTCGTCGTGAACCGAAAAATAAAGCTCTAAAACTAAGACTTGACCAACGCTCCTCAACGCCTTTGTCACCGGTTTTCGATTAAAAATTTTCAAAAAACCAAGACTAGGTTTTTAACGCTCTGTATTAGAAAAAGAGTGACCATCAAAGTTGCGTATAAGAAATTTTCATAGATGGCGCCACTTTCGAAAAATCTGCTGTGAAACCTAGCGGTCATTATTTCACAGAATGTGCGGGGAAAAAGTACCAATTTTATTGCTGTTTTAAATATCTCATAAATTGGAAAATACGATTAACTGATCCAATATTTTTGATGCATTTTATTTAGTAGGCTTTTTACTTTGTGTTCGGTAATGTGAACGATATCTAGTGGTTGGCGATGTCTTCTCCATCTAGATGTAGTCCTGAGTGCCGGGTATAAAAGTTGTGACGCGTAAGAAGCGTCTCACACGTCCCTTCTCGTTTTTTAAATACACTTGTAACAGTGTGAGTATACAGCAGTCTGTAGGTACAATTTGCTGGCTTTAACTCTTTTAGTGTCTGAGAACTAGCCGACAAACCAGACGGACGGACAGACAGACAGACATGACTCTATCGACTCGGCTATTGATGCTGATCAAGAATATACATACTTTATGGGGTCGAAAACGTTTCCTTCTGTTCGTTACATACATGCGTTGTTCCCCACAAATACAATATACCCTTTTTACTCTTCGAGTACTGGGAATAAAAAGTTAAACTTTCTGACTTAGCAATATAGACAACATAGAAATATAAATCAGGTAGTTATCATATTTTATTCATCTTTTTGTTTTAATTTTATTTCAGAAAAACGAGAAATATACTTTATAGCTATTATTGATGTCCTTACTCAATACGGAGTCAAGAAACAGGTAGTTTAATAGGAATTAATTACTTCTTGCCATACCTAATATTTTAAAATTTCAGGCGGCAAAAGCAGCAAAGACGGTTAAGTATGGTAGTAACGTTGATGGAATATCGACATGTGACCCAGAACAATATGCCAAAAGATTCTTGGAATTTATGGATAAAGCTATAGAATAAGACATAATAATCATTGTATTTGCCACATTAAAAATGTTAAATTTATACATATAAGTTATAAACAAATATGAGACATTAGTCGTTTTTGCTTCCCTCATGTTTACTTTTGACCGATGTGCGATCCTAGGCGACGTGTGCATGTGTTCCATTTTAACAGGACAAGGGTGGACAATTTGAAATATGATAAATTAGAAGAACATAATTAAAATTTGTATTATACCGAAGAGTAAATAGGGTATATTGTGTTTGTACACAAAGTGGATGTATGTAACGCACAGAAGGAAACTTTTCCGACCCCATAAAGTATATATATTCTTGATCAGCATCAATAGCCGAGTGGATATAGCCATGTCTGCCTGTCTGTCCGTCCGTCTTGTTGAGCGCCTGGATCTCCGAGACTATAAAAGCTAGAGCCACCCATTGCATCCAGATGTCTGGATGCTCACACTGTTTCAAGTGTATTTCAAAATTTCGCCACGCCCCTTCAGCTCCCGCAAAGGGCCCAAGTCTGCGGTATTCATATGAAGTTAAGAGAAAACTAATAACGCAATTCTGTAGGGAAGGACCATATCTATCAGATCACCGAATTGGGAACCGATTGGAAAATTATTATACTCAGAATGAAGAAATTATTTCAGCAGTTTTTATACCCGGTACTCGAAGACTAAATAGGGTATTTTTGTATTGAGAATTTTAAATTTTTCCTTCATCTGTCATCTACATCTACAACACTTTTCACACCAACACGCTCCGTTAGCTCCCCGCTCTTCCCTATACCCACCCACTCGCGGCAGAGGCAGTGCCCGCACAAAAAAAAAAAGAAAATATATAAAATAAATATATAAATATGGCTCATTTTTACATACACTTGTAACAGTGTGAGCATACAGAAGTCTGGATGCAAAATTTGGTGGTTCTAGCTTTTATGGTCTCTGAGATCCAGGCGCTCAACAAGACGGACGGACGGACAGACAGACAGACATGGCTCAATGGACTCGGCTATTGATGCTGATCAAGAATATATATACTTTATGGGGTCGGAAACGTTTCCTTCTGTGTGTTTACTTTGTGCAGTACTTTGTACTTTGTGCAAAAAAATCGCTAAGGTACAGAAGTAGTATTGAGTACTGGATATAAAAGTTGTGACGCGTAAGAAGCGTCTCACACGTCCCTTCTCGTGTTTATTCTTTTGCATGTTCTCTCTCACTGTCCTTGTAGTGTAGTGTGCGGCTCTAGGTCATGGGCGAGCTAAAACAGAGTGTTGGCGTAAGAAGTGATGTAGATGTAGAACAAATGTAAAATTTAAAATAAAAAAAAAACTACAAGGTACAGATGTACTACTGAGTACCGGGTATAAAAGACGCGTTCTCGTTTTCTCCTATCTTCATTACAATGGCAAATGCCAAAAATATCAGTGTGATATCACAGGAGTCTTCACACATAATTTGATGATTCCAGTTCTTATAGTCTCTTATATCCTCGCGCTCATCAAGACTGACGGACACACAGACAGAAATAGACTCGGCTTTTGATGCTGATCAAGAATATATTAACTTAATGGGGTTCTGTGCGTTACGCACATTGCGCCGACCACAAATACAATATACCCTATTTACTCTTCGAGTTCCGAGTATAAAAAGTTTACAGTTTTATTTGAAATTTCAAAAAGATAGTTATTAATTCCTTAAATATTTCGAATATAAGAAAATACACGTATACTTCTGTGGGTTCAAATAGGCTAGGCTGCTTGGTTAATTAAGAACGAAATAGTGCATTCCGATTGTTGTAAAGCTCCATTACTAAAATGAGACAAATCAGTAAAATTCCATATTTTTATGGCAAATACGTACCACAAAACGGTTTACTTGATAACGTGGGGTAGGGGGCGGATGATTTTCATTGGTATTCATATTTTCGAAGCGTTCTCGAATACTGAAAATATATTTGTATAGAAGCAAGATCTGCTTACTTTTATTTAATTTCAGTTGGTACTCACGTCTTTGCACTTTCTAATGAATCGTTGGAAACCTGTTGAGAATAAATGTCTATTCGCCCTTCACTAAGCTCACGTTCTATTTCGTTAATCTGCCATTTTTCAAATTTGGCGCGCAACTGTTTAGCTCGAGCTGCGTTCTGAGCCTGTGTGATTCAATCGACATTATATTGTTCGTTATCCATATAAATCTTACCTCTTTGAGTGCCTGGTCACAGCAACTTGATTTTGGGGTATCTTTTTCAAAGTCACTTTCATCGTCTTCACTGTCCTGATCCTCTTCGCTTTCAGATTTATCAAAATAAGGAATATTTTCAGGTGGCGGAGTGAAGCATTTGAGTGGATTGGGTTTCCTTGGCTTATCGACATCAGCAGCTCCTTTTCCCTCTAATTCACGGAACTTGTTTAAAATGTTCGATGCGGTTTGGGTTTTTTGCAGAACTGTGTCATTAAAAGATTTAGTTTTTTTTTTATCAAGCAGGTCAGCGTCGGAGTCCGGGGTTGACAATTTGACAACGCCTTCACGTGGTGGTGTCATGCGAAACTGACGCTTTTCATTCTCGATGGGCCGAAATTTTTCGAAAAAGTTAAACCTTTCACTTAATTCAGCTGTAGTTACTTTAACGTCTTCTCCCTTTGAATCGGATTTAACAATATCTATATCAGCGTTCTAAGTACACACATACATACATGCATTCTCCTTTTAGGTATATTCATTTATTTTAATATTTTTTTCATAATCTTACCTCTTGTTCAATATTATGATAAGGGTCGATCACAATATTTTTATGGATATCTTGTCTATTATTCGGAATTTTAATCTTTTCATTGAAATTCGAATTGATATTAGCATCTAGTTCCATGAAGATGCTGCGCGATGTTTTACTAATAGCTTAATTTTTTTTTAAATGATTAAATACAAAATAATTACTGGTAATTGGTAATTGTGGTAGTTTAAAATTTGGACAAGTAAATAAAATATTCATACCAGATTCGAAAACATCGGCATCTTCTAGCAATCCCAAACTGTGGCTCCTTTCTTCTATCGATTGAATACTGCTTTCACTAAACATTTCACCGTTCTCAAATCGGTCTTTTATTGAACGAGCTGCTACACCGATTTCCGAATCAGGTATCTTACCCACTGAAGTAATTCCTTGTTCTGATTCAGCAACAGCTTGCTGGTACATTTCCTTTATCTTTGCCTGTTTACCCATAAATAACCGAGAACGAATGCTCTGAATTTCCTGCTTTCGTTCTTCGCGGCGTTCTTCTTTTGACATCATGTGACCTTGCTCAAATCTGTTTTTAATATCGTTCATGGCATCACCCAATCCCACAGGCCTCTCTTTTTCAGTTTCTTTTTTAACACGCATTAAGGCCGTGTCGCTGTCACCATCGTCATCTTTAAAGAATATGATTTGTAATAATGTTCAAATTATACAGAATAATCAAATTTACCTGAATCTAGAATCTTTTTTTCTCCAGTGTACAGTAGGCCATTTTTATGCAGTTTTGATAGTTTGGTTGATATGGAAGTACTTTTCTTTAGGTTTGCATCTTGGCGGTGTAGCGTTTGAACATCCTTATCATCCTTATCAGTTTTACCTCCATTTTCAAATACTTGAAATTTTGAGCGGACATTTATTTGATGAAGTTCCTCTAGTCCAAGATTCGGTTTATCGGATGCTGCGTAGAATAATTAAGATTCAGTAAAATTAAAATAAAAAAACGAGTAGGGACGTGTGAGACGCTTCTTACGCGTCGCAACTTTTATACCCGGCACTCAGTACTACATATGCACCTTAGCTGTGTTTTCCCAAATTTTAAATGTTTTCTGCGTCTGCGTCTACATCTACATAACTTCTCACGCCAACACGCTAATTTTGCTCGCCCCCCTCCCCTAGAGCCGCACACTGCAGATCCACGGCAGAGGCAGCGGCCGCAGACTGCAGAAGCAGAGTGTGAATGAGAGAATGTGAAAAAAACAACAAAAGCTGCGGGTGGGTATAGCCACTGCAAATTAATTTCTTCATTGTGGCTATAATATTGATCCAATCGGATTTGGTTATCTGATAGATATGGTCCCTACAGAATGGCGATTTTAGTTTTCTTTTATCTTCAAAATTTTAGCTTTGGGAGTTTTTCGCCCTTTTGCGGGGGCGGAAGGGGGCGTCGCTCATTTTTAAATACCCTGCGTTCAGTGTGAGCATACAGCAGTCTGGAGCGTAAGATGCGTCTCACACGTCCCTTCTCGTTTATTTTCGAATTTTACATTTGACATCTTACATTTTTTCTTCATGTCATTTACATCTGTAATCTACATCTACATCACTTACGCCAACAAGTTCTTTTAGCTCGCCCCCCTTCCCCAGAACCGCATGCGAGAATGCGGAAATAAATGCGAGAATAAGCAAAAAATAAAAAAAAAATGCTGGGCAGGTGGGCTTAGACACTGCAAATTCATTTCTTTATTCTGGCTATAATAATGATCCAATCTGATCCCAATTTGATGATCTGAAAGATATGGTAATTTCCTACGGAATGACGTTTGTTTGGCGTTTGTTTGTTCAGTGTGAGCAGTCTGGCGGCAATATTCTGTGGCTCTAGCTCTTATAGTTTCTGACATACAGACATGACTATATCGAATTGGCTATTGAAACTACTTTATAAACTCTTCGAGTACCATGTATAAAAAGCTGATGAATGAATAGCAAGGGTATAACAAGTTTTTATATGTACACATGCTTCACACTAAGGTTACCCCTAGCTCTTATATTGTCAGAGACCTAAGCTTTGGACGGTACGTATCAGAGCACCAGATCAGATGATCGCGAATTTTTACCAACTCTTTGTACGCTTGAAGGAGAGGTATATGAAAAGTGAGCAGAATTTTGCAACGCACAGAATCATCTTGATTGCACACTTGCGTATTAAATCATTGTTGGTTTCTTTTCGCTTAATGTTAGAGCCCTGTTTGGGTTTCACGTGAGTGTGTATTACAATT